AGGAGGGATGAAATTCAAATAACTATGTAAATAGCTAATATTTATGTTTCTAAAATACAGTTGCAGGAACTGGGTATGTCTAGTTCAATGAAAAGAAGGACTAGGGGAGACATGATAGCAGTATTCCAATATCTCAGGGGCTGCCACAAAAAAGAGGGAGTCAAACTATTCTCCAAGGCACCTGAGTATAAAACAAGAAGCAAGGAGTGGAAACTAATCAAGGAGAGAAGCAACTTAGAACTGAGGAGAAATTTCCTGACAGTTGGAATAATTAATCAGTGGGAAGAAAAATTGCAGTTTATTCTACACATGAATAGTCAAAATAAGCCTTAAAATGTGGGAATGAGTGTAAGGAACAGTTTGGAGATCTGTAGGCATTGATTTACAATCTCAGGCTAATCCTATCTATTGCAGAAACCTATTTTATTAGATTGTATAATGAATGTAGTTCCTTGGTATTTGACTCCAGCTCTTAACATTTGAGAATTCCCTGGATCACAGTAGTGCTTTTTAAAGCACTACTGTATAAAAATAAACAAGGTACATGATAGCAATGTTCCATTATTTAAGGGGCTTCCAGAAGGGATCAATCTATTCTCTAAAAAACCTAAAGGCAAGACAAGAAGCAATGGATGGAAACCAATCAAGGAGACAACAAACCTAGAACTAAGGAGAAGTTAGAACAATTACCGTATTTTTTGGTGCATAAGACGCACCGAAGTATCAGATGCACCAAGGTTTTGAAGAGGCAAATTAAAACAAAAAAGTAGGTTGGTAGAGGGATAGAGAGGGAGAGGAAGAGAGAGAAATACAGTAGGTAGGTAGGAAGAGAGAGACAGTAGTTAGGTAGGTAGATAGATAAAGGGATAGAGAGAGAGAGGGTAGGTAGGTAGGTAGGTAGGTAGGTAGATGTTTCCAGGTGTATTTATTCATGTGCTGGGAAAAAAATTGCTGATAATCTGCAGTATCTAAGACTTTGTTTCTGCTGGCACAGCACTTAATCAACGCAATTCTCATCAATCAGTTTAAAAGCTTTCCAAAAGGGAAAAAAAAAGTTTTTGCACTCTGCAAACCTGCCAAAAATGGCCTGTTTTTCATGAAAATGGGCCTGTTTTTTTAAAAAGGCCTGCATAGCCTTATGGAGGGTTATAGAGGGCTGCGGGAGGAGGAGGCAAAAAACGGCCAGTTTTTCCCTCATTTCTGTCCTCCCCAGGAGCTCTCTGAAAGCCTCCATAAGGGTATGCACAGCCATTTTGGTGAAGGGGCGGGGCTTCGGGAGACAAAAAAATGCTGTCTTCGATGTATAAGACGCACCCAGATTTTCAGCCTCTTTTTTGAGGAAAAAAAGGTGTGTCTTATACTCAGAAAAATACGGTAATCAGTGGAATTGCCTCCAGAAGTTGTGGGTGGTGCAGTACTGGAGGTTTTTATGAAGTCACTGGATAACCATTATCTGGAATGGTATAGGGCAGTGATAGCAAACCTTTTAGACAACAAGTGCCCAAACTGTGTGCGCACACATGCCCAAACTGAAAGGTATGTATGTGTGAATGTGGACATGGCTGGAAATGCGCAAACGTGTGCATGTGTAAATGTTTGTGCACACCTGCCCAGAAATACATGAATTTGCCCGTGCGCAGATATGTGCGCATGCGCAACAGAGACCTGCAGACCAGCTGGCTAGCGGGAGGCGGGGCATCCCAACACTGGCACCATGGCAAGAGGTAAGATCTTTTTCTTTTGTGAGCTTCTGTTTCATCGTTTGCATGGAATCATAAGCTCATGAAAGAAATGCTGTGGAGATCTGACATGAGGCGATGGTGTGCCACCTCTAGCATGCGTTCCCTAGGTTCGCCAAGCAGAGTATAGGGTTTCCCGCCTGAGCAGGGAGTTGGACTAGAATACCTCCAAGGTCCCTTCCGACTCTGTTGTTCTGCTCTGTTTTGTTAAGTTACAGTAATCCCTCCATTACGAGGTGCTGATTTTGGTGGAATGCTATGGAAATCAAGTAGATGATACACCAGAAAATACCTCCTCCTAGCACAATCCTCAGTTATCTAAAATCATGTTCTCATAGAAATCATGTCATTGAAAATACTATGCTCCTGTTGACTGTCTACAATTTTAAAATATGGGTCACTTGAAAATCAAGAGATATGAATTAGATCAAAGAATTACTGATGAAGTGACTTTCTGGTAAGCTGTACACAAAAATAAATTTTATTTTAAAAAGAGAGAGACAAGGTGTCTTTAAACTGCTGTTTTCTGATCATTCTTATTTTAAAGCAATCCAGCCTTTCCTTCAAGAATTACAGAGCCAGCTTTCAGTAGGGCTGAGTTTTTTTATAGTAATGCTTTAGAATTCTAATGTGCAGATGTCACCATGGTGGAGACACTAGGCTTTTGAGTATATTAAATATTCCAAGGAAAAGAGCAGCAGCCGGCTCTACATCCTCCGAAAGTAGTTTGTTTTTTCTGCAATTATGTATGCAGTAGGGCTGAACCAAAACTGCTTACACAAGTTCACTTTTGTTTTAATTGGAAGAGGAGCCTAAACTAAAGAAATACAAGTGCATGTGTGGTAAAAAAAAATCATAATGCAGTTTTAATAACAAATTTGTTTTACAGTATTTATTCTGTTTCTAACAATAGTTTAGCATCTCCAAGAAACTATTTTGGGATTTTTATAGTTCTGCTTTTTTCTGGACATTTCTTTTTCTTGCAGCTTAACATTTATGAAATTGAATTGTTGGTCTGTTCTGCTCTTCATATCATTTAGAGCCCTGGCTCTCTTTTTCAAGTTGTAGTATTATGGAAGCTCTGAGATGATTTTAGTCCAGTTTAGTTTGCACAGCAGTTATGAGGATTGTTTTTTTTTTAAAAATAGAGTGCTATATGCACTCTACATTCCTGAAGGAAAAGTAGACTAAAAATCTTAACTAACAAATAATTCTGAAACTTCTAAATAAATGGGCTGGAGTTTTGTTGCCATCTAGTGCTTATCTGGATAATTACCACCTTATAAAAGAACTTTGCTCTGTTTTTCCATCTTTACAGGGATAGCCTTTCAAAAAAAAAAAAAAAAAACAACACCCACCTCTTTTTGTTTCTGGTTTGTTCCAAAAATATTCACTTATTTCTCTCATTAGTTTTAACCTCAGTTTATTTTGCTCGATTTTATCATTTTATTAATAAATTTTTCTGCTTGTTTCTTGTTATAATACCTTCAGTAACTCTTATGTCCATTCAAATTGAATTTATATTACTCTGAAAGGCTTATGTTAAGAATGTGGGATGGGCTTCCCTCAAGTTGTAGTTGTGGCTATTGTAGCATCTGTAGTTGTGGTCATGTAATGATGATTTTGGTACAATTACAATGGTTATAGTGTCCCACAGTATTTCAGATTTTGTCATTAACTTCCAGAAAAGTAACCTCATGAAAACTTCGTAAAAACATTCTAGCTTTGTGAGAATTTAATTTGTAGATGTTGATACCAATGATGCCAGTTAATGATTGAACAAATCTAAAAGAGTGTATACATAATCTGGCACTTAAAATTTTTATTGTGCAATTTATGTGAGGATCAATTTAGTGCCCTAGTCAAAAAAAATAAAGTAAATGAAACAAATTAAAATTAGGAAATGAGATAATATTTATCCATCTTTAGTACCTTTTTGCAGGAAAAAATGTTAACATATTAAAATTAAAAAACCATGATCAATTATACATTAGGATTTGCAATTTCTCTTTCAATGGAATGAGAAGTACACAAGCTGTTTTACTAAAGATTCAAAGTATTTTATTAATTATTTCAAAATATACTTCCCTCTTTCCAAATTATAAATATATATATGGACAACAATTATTTTACTGTTTATACTTCTAATCAGTTCAATGATCAAACTTACCTGAATTGATTACAGATTTCCTTTAAAAGCTATTTTCAAATATAATTGAAGAAAGATGTGACTTCTTAGATAACCTGTTGTTAAAATATATGTATGTATGTATGTATGTATGTATGTATGTATGTATGTATGTATTTTATATGACATTGATGCAATTCTTGGTTGTAGGCATTGATGGTCCAGCTGCTTTTCAAGATGAAGTACAGATAGCAAGGAGCCAAGTTCAAATTCTTACTGTTGGGGAATCTTGCCATGATGAGGATGATGGAGAGGTGTTAGCTACTAGCCAACAAGGCAAACAAGACCTTAGAGTAACAATGCAGAAAAAAGGTAAGAACTCACTGAAATATTCAAATATTTTTGGCTTTTTCATCATGGTGTTTGCAGGATATGAGGAGGGAAGAGCAAAAGTAGACCTAAGCTTTTTTATGTCATCATTATCAACACACACACACACACACACGCACACCAGTATGTATCCTTATAGACTTGTCAGATAACAAAAAAAGATTGGAATTCATATACTTTGTGGATAGATGTTACTTAGGACTAGTAAATTATGAAGTCTATAAACCAAAAGTTTCATTATATGCTTACCTGTTCCTCCATACAAAAAATGCTAATGGTTTGTATTGCATTCTAAGATAATCAAATGCATCAAATAGGAATTAAATTGAATCCAGGGTTATGCTACTAGCAGTAAGCAAATTTTATAAAATATAGCAGATAGTCATGTTTGGTAGCCAATTAGTTCCTCTCCAACTGATATTTGAAAAATATCTGATTCCTCCAATGTCAGTGCCTCTCTACATACCATCTAATAAACAACAGAAGGAAATTAGAAAAATAACTGGCAGATATTTTGTATGCCCTACAGTTGTTGGTCCTGGATTGAATTTATCTGCTTAAAATGTTTTCTGGTAACACGAAAGTTTGCCATTAACTAATCTTTGTTATTTCTCCATGAAGCTTCTAGTAACTCTGGTTGTAATTTGGTAGATAAATTAAGTGGGTAGGAAATATTCTTTCCAAAATATATTGCTAGCAGCATTAATTCTTAGGAAATACTCTGCTCTTTGGATTTCATTTCTTTTTCAATGAATCAAGTTGAAAGAACAAATAACATTTTGATACATTCTACCAAAGTCCCACTTCTTAAATAATGTCAATGTTGTTGTTAATATTGTAAGAATATGAATATGAGCAGACATTAGTAGATCTTACAAGGTCTTAAAAGCATCACATTGATAGATAACTGCTACACTGCACTAATAAGAGAAGCATAAATAGGTGCAATCAAAGGTGTGCTTTTTCTAGCACTTCAAAAGAGATGAGAGGCTCTGATATAATAAATAAAATGCATGTTCTGAGAGCAAGCAGTTTGATTATGCAGTAGTTATAATGTCTTTAAATATAATGATTGTGTCTTAGGCATTTCAAGTAGCATGAATTTTGATGAAGAGGAGGATGAGGAGGATGAAGATAGCTCAAGTTCCTCACAGTTAAATAGTAATACCCGACCAGGTTCTGCAACAAGCAAGAAATCAAATAAGGTGAGTGCTCTGATGTGGTGGACTCAAAAATACCTCAGAATCAGAGGTGGTATTTAGCCGGTTTAGACCAGTTCATCTGAACTGGTAGTGGCAAACTGCAAGTGGGCCCACACACCTGCCCCGGCTCCAAAACTTCCTATGTAGCCTTGTTTTCAACACTGCACGCATGCGTGCACGCAGCATGCATGAGGAAAGCACATGCGCGGAATGCCAGTGATAAAACTAAGAAAATCTCACCACTACTCAGAATTACCTAACCAGGACATTTAATGTAATGTAAACTTATCTTGCCTGTATGGATTCTTCATAACATTTCCCTAACCCTAACCCTAACCCTAACCCAGATTTAATGTCTGTCCTGAGCTCCTTGCTAAAGTATAGAACCATTTCTTATTTTATTTCCTCTTTTCACTTTTTGGATGCAACAGTAGCACCACATTTATGGTGTGATATTCCATGGTTGTGAAGATGGAACAAGAAATTGCTTCCACACACATTTTTTTGCAATTTAGTCTATTAATTCTTTCATGTACATAAAGCTGAATAAAGTTGTTTATAAAAGGGTAAAAATTTAACAACAGAATCTGATAGCATTATGTGAATGGTGGATGATTGGTGGAACTGGCATTGCCAATGAAGAATACTTTTAGAAAAAAATATAGCATATAAAATGGAAAGTTTTAGCATTGAAACTTAAATATAGAGGAGGCTCCCTGACTACCTTCTAAAGTTTAGAAAGTCAGTGTAGCTCCTCCCTTTTACTCTCACTGCAGCGTCCCTATCCTGTGAAGCTAATGTTAATTATAGTATTGATCTGTTGCCTACAAAATTCCTAAATTTACTTCCAACAAGATCCATGGTTTTTGATAATTAGTCTGGAAAGTAGAAAACAGTGGTGAGATGGAAGCATTTAAATGTAATAAATATATTAATTATAAATAAATATTGGTGATGAAATGTTTTACCAAATACCATATTTTATCTTATATATAAATAACCAGACATTAATCACAGTTAACGGAGAATTTAATATACTGTTGGCTATTTTTTTATTTATTTTTTACAAATATTCCATTTCTTCAGGTTTGTTTTGAGTCCATTAAGCTGCTACCAGCTAAGTGGTGCTATGCTAGGCTGCAGGCCTAACACCAACTAAAACCTATTAAAATTCTTCTAAGCTGGTTGTCATCCTTAAATCTTCCAGCAAGACTTTGTTAAATTTTCAAAGTTTCTTTGCTCCAGCAAAGGTTTGAGTGAAACATTTCCTGGAAACATTGTTTGCAAAACAATACCCCTCTCTTGATTCCAGGATCAAAGAGAAGCAGGCTGCTCTTGTGCTTTACTGCATTCCATTTATGCACTGCATCATGTGATGTTTACAATAGCTGAAGAAGCTAGATAAGAGACAATCAGTAGGCTGAAAAGCAACACAAGGCGCTTCTTCTTCAAGGCACATTCAGTACATCTTTCCAGATCACATCCAGTTTTGTTCCACTGCATTACATTTTCCCATGTCTTCTTTTGTGTGGAAAGTGAACTGTCCAGAATACATGTATGTTCTGGGTTTTTTTATTGTTACCTCTGTACTACCAAATTTCCATTGAGATTTATCTCCACATTAATCTCTGTGTATTTTAAAGTGAGGTAACTTTTCTTACTCTTCTAGGAAACAGCATCAGGGCCCAGCCCTTCAACCAATAACCCTGTAATAAATGTGGATGATTTGGAGGAGTTTGCTGTGAGACCTGCTCCTCAGGGAGTTACTGTCAAATGCCGAATCACAAGAGACAAGAAGGGAATGGACCGTGGAATGTACCCTACCTATTACCTCCACCTAGAAAGGGAGGATGGTAAAAAGGTCATTAAGCATATTTTCTTGGCTGTCAAAAAAGTAACAGTATAGAAAGCACACAGAACCTAGAACTTGTATAATTATAAGTGTTTTTAAATGGGAGGGGAAGGTTGTATCCCTGTCAGAAGTATTTATAATGATGGGAAAATATAGATGAAAATGAAGCATGTCCTGAAAAGCAGAAAGAATATCTGAGAAAAAATAAAACTATATGGACATGTTTTAGACTACAGTCTATTTTTTGTTGTAAGTCCCATTAAATTAAGTCAAAATTGTTTATGAAAAGATTTCACTGCAGAACTGGAATATGAGCTTCCCCTGTATCATACATTCTTCATGATTACAGTGTAAGTACTGAATCGTTTATCACATATCAGCCATTCAATTACTGAACTTCCACAACACTCAGTCTCAACAATAAGAACTTCCCTGAAGGTTTGGGCAAAGTCTATCTTAGAGCATTTCACTTGTTGCAATAACCAATCAGATGTTCCTGGAGTGTTCACATACACTCCCCCACCACATCCCCTGTTGTTGTCCTGTAGCTGGTTGGCAGGCTGCTCCTGACATACAGCTAACATTGAACTTCATAAGTAATAGCCTCTGAAAGTCCCGTTTTCCATGAATTTTTCCAGCCCCTATGACAAACTCTTTAGAAAAAGGAGATAGAGTTGGAAACTTGCAAACAGAAGAGCAGACAAGAATAAGGGAGTTTTCCATGGCTCTTTAGCAAGGAGAGGAACAAGTTAACTTCAGATGCTGTATAGTGGAGCAGGGGTGAAGAGTGAAGAGGGAGCAGTGATAGTGATTTACCAGGCAGATGCTATGCTTGTAATTTTAGCAGAAGAATACGCTAATTACCTACATGGAATGGAAGAAATGACCTCAGGAGGCTTGAACCGGAGAATGTTCAGCCATGACAAATGTAAGCCTACCTGCATCTGGGTCGGAAAAATAAAATGTGTACATATAAGGTTGAGGAACCTGACTTAGTAGCAGATATGCTAAAAGGATCTCGAAATAGTATCATTTGTACAAGAGTAAGCAGCTGCTAAGAAAGGTAGTGCAATCTTGGACAGCATTTGTATAATCATTGCATCCAGATCATGGAAGATAGGGTGACTGTATTTTATGCTGTTTGTACTGCATTTGAAATATTGTGTCTGTTTCTAAGTTGGAATGAGTTCAGAGAAATGCTACTAGAACGACAAAAGGTCAGAAGTCCAAGGCAGGGGTGGGGGTTAAAGAAAGGAAAGATAATGACACTAACAATTTGGAAATATATAAAAGGCCGTTATACAGAAGAAAGTGAACTTTGTGGATTCTAAGAGCAGAAAAAGGACCAACTAATTGAGAAAAAGTAAATTGAAGCTGAATATCAAAAAGAATTTCATGACAATAAGTTATTAAACAGCAGAAGAGTCTGCTAGAATTAATGGTAGACTCCCTTCTGCTAGAAATTTTCAAATGGGTTAGTTAAATGGCCTCCTGTCTAGGATAATTGAGTAAATTCCTGCAATAGACAGAACTAGAATAAGAGCAAAAGAAGGAACACACTGTCAGCTTTTTCTGCTACTTTGCTAAAAACCAGGCATCTTAAGTCCAAGGCCCAGTAATTAATTTGGAGAGGCCTAAGCTTCACCTGGCCTATTACCAGATTGCATTCTAGCTAGAAGAGCTATAAACCACACAACAAGAATATCTGTTTTAAAAAGTAGGTTTTTTTAAAGAAAATACAAAGATATGAACATAGATGGATATTTGGCTAAAAGAAAAGAAGTTGCAAAAGAGGAAAAATAATCAGAGGGTAACAGGTAGCATCTAACTAGGCTTCAGAAAAAAGATAAATTTTGAAGTAAATCCGGTGCTTGCCTTGGGCACAAACAAATAAAATAAAATTGTAACACCATGGTATTTACTTACTATACTTACTTAATATTCCTAAAGGTCTAAGTATGTTAGAGTTCCTATTTCCTGACAAATTTCATCACAGGGGATCTGTAGTATATATTTTCATTCTCCAACAAGCAAATCCAGCTTCATAATGTACCATGTAAAGTACTCCTTTGCTATTTAATGTCAAATTGTTCTTGTTCAGAGGTTTCATTAATCAACTTCCCCTTTTCTTGCCCTTTAGAGTTTGATGGAATTGGTTTATAGGTGTAATGGTCTGTGAGAATGCCTTTGGGAGACAGGAGGAAAGGCCTCAGACTAGACAATTGTCAGACAAGAGACAGCTGAGACCACAGAAGGAATGGAGTAGAAGAGTTAGAAGGGACCCTTCCTAATTTATGGGACTGTAAAGGGGAGGATGCATTTTCAAACTTGCAAGATTCTTTTAATGTAACTTTACAATAAAGTGAGAGTTAAGTATTCTGGATAAGCCATTCTCCTGGACTACATTGCAAGGCTGGCAATAGGTTATATTATGATTGAATGGAAATCATTGCTAGAGGTACCCCTTCCATTATAGAGATGGTCCTTTTTGTTTCAAATATGGATACAATATAGAGTGCATTTATCCATTACCATTTGAGCATCATTTCTAGATAGTCTGAAACTGGTAATGCGTCATTTAACCAATTTGCATGGAAAATTCATGTTATGACAACTCCCCAAGCAATAAACAGAACAGTTATTTTCAGAGGCAATAGCTGCATTTCTGTTGGGATATTTATTTGTTGTGTCTATCCCAACGGGAACTGAACTTGGAACTTTATGCATGCAAAGCATGCACTCTGTCATTAAGCACCTCTTTCTTCTTTTAGTGTGCTTTGATATACAGGCTGAAACTGCATTGTGAATTGGTACATTGCAAATCCATCCATTTGAGTCCAGTGTAAAGCTGAAAATGAATTTTAAAAAATCTAAATGTTGCGTCATGCATTGCAGTTGATAGTTAGATTGTTGAAGGCTATCTCCACAGTTCTGTATTTGCCCAACTGGAAGGTATGTCCACTCCCCTCTGGCAAATTATTACCTACGAATTGATAGGTGAGTGGGGGTTCATCTTACATTCCATGAGAAGGAAATACAGATGTAGATTCAGTGCTGCAAATGTTTTGGAAGATAAGTTTGAAAATTATCCCTCATTGCTTGCCTGGTGAATATCACGCTGTTTATGTTGTATAGATATAATGTCAAGTGGTTGATAAATTGAAACTCCTTGGGAAAAAGGAGTAAATGAGAATAAACAATGCTTTAAATACACCGTTTAAAGTCTACTTTGTTCTAAGATAATTCCATGTTTGGATTCTTCAAATTATTTACAGCAGGATTGTGCATTCTGATCTGAACTAGAAAATGTTTTCCTTTCATTAAAAGGATACTATTTAAACAGAATGTAAATCTTTAATAAAATGTTCCAGGTTAATTATTTAAACCATCACTAATGGGTCCAAGCAAGTAAAATTCTCTATTGACTTTTTCAACCCATTTTTGCTAATTTTCATTTTCTTTAATTATTCTTATTGTCAAGAAAAATTCTTATGATTTCTTTTTTCAATGGTTCCACCAGATTCTGCTTAGAATTTTGACTTTTTAAAATATATTTATATATATATTTATATATATATATGTTTTAGGTATTTTTATTAGCTGGAAGGAAACGGAAAAAGAGCAAAACCTCAAATTACCTCATTTCCATTGACCCAACAGACCTGTCACGAGGAGGAGAGAGTTTCATTGGAAAATTAAGGTAAATATCTACTTTTAAAATGTATGCTTAAGTGTGAAATGGTTTGAGATTTAAAGCAATTCAAACCTCTTTATGTTTGTAGATTTTCATAGTCTCTATATGTAGGTAAAAGGGAAATAAGCTCCATACTCACTAGCACTGATGATATTGCCTAGTTGGGTAACAAAACGTCTGCAAGCAAATAACCAAGCTCAGAGAACATCAAGGGTTCTGCAGACTTGGATTTTCCCAGTTCTAGTCCATACTCTTGTTATACAATACCTAATAACTTTAAAAAATGGATACATTTAATGTCAAAAAGAGATTTAGAGAAGAGGTGGGGAACTATTGCCCCTTTGTGACTTGTGTACTTCAACTCTCAGAATTCCTAAGCCAGCATGACTGACTCAGGAATTCTGGAAGTTGAAAGTCCACAAGTCATAAAAGGGCCATAGTTCCCCACTCCTGGTTTAGGGGAAACACAATTCTAGCTTTCATGATAATAAATATTTAGTAGTGGACCGTGATTACTCTTTTACTTCAATAATAGGTCAAATCTCATGGGGACTAAATTTACAGTTTACGATAATGGAGTTAACCCAGTGAAAACAACATCGAGTTTGGAGGCAAGTAATCTACGCCAGGAGTTAGCTGCTATTTGCTATGTAAGTATTTCCCTATGCAAAAAAGCAAATTAGAATAAATAACAATTGTTGGATTGAGTACTAAAATAACTTCATGTTTATAATTCCAGAATACCTACTACGTGGACTCTATGTAAAGTATAGTTACTGCATACAAATGCTCTTTGCATCAGGTGTTTACAATTTCACACTTATATATTAGTACCATAACAGCTTAGTCTTTGCATTAGAATTGGACATTATAAGATTTATCTAGTATTATAAAATGGCATTCCGTTATTATTCTCATTTTTAATTTCCAACTTTCATTTTTTTTCCTGTTATGTTTTTTATACTATGGATACGAATTGCCCTTATTTATCCTTATGCTACTCTACGTACTTTTCCAGTGAAATAACAAAATATAATTTCTTTTAAAAAGAGGCCGTAGAACAACCATTTTTACAAAATAAGAGCATGCTCAAGGACTGCAATAATAAAGGAATTATTTCTATTCAGGATGAAGGATATCTTGGAAGACGTTCAGCTTCAACTTGGAATTACTGGGGGAAAGCAATTGGTTGATCCAATTGGTTTATTCCTGAGCCAGATAATATTTAATATGATATATAGCTCCTTCTGCTGCTCTCATTTCCAGGAACACAGACCATGAGTACTACCATGAATAAAAAACAGATTAAGCATCTACTTGCTTCCTATATTAGCCTGGCAGCATGATGATGCTATTTGACATGACATTGTATGAAGCATAGTTCTATTTTAGTCAAAGCAATGAATAAAAGGCTAAGAAATACTGTGAAATTAACCGTTCTGTCACTGCAGCTGAAGGAGGAGAATGCTTTTTCCTTCAGCTACATGGGCTTGGCATTGTTCAACAAGGGGTTCTTAGTATTATTTGTGGAGTTACATTTGAGGTCACCATTTGTAAAATGGAATGGATTGGATGCATTAATACTGGTTTTAAGTCCAGCATAATTAAAAATGGTAAATATACCCATTAATTTATGAAGGTAACTGGATGAGTCATCTGACTACAACAAACATTCCCAGAATTTTCTACCCTACCCTAGAGTGGCTTTTTGCATTGAAGCCATGGGTTTCTCTCAAGCAAGAATGATTCACTGATGTTTTAGATGCATGTAATCATTAAGATATAAAAAGAATTAAAATACATTCTAGGGAAAGTCCCTGTCAATAAAATTCTTACAAAATCTTCTTTAACCATATTTCTTGAAAAGGAGAAGTAATTAGAACAAACATCTGAATAAGAAAACTTGAGTTTAACACTCTATTTTTTAATTTGCTAGGCTGGGGTCTTCATACATTTCTTGTTAACTTGAGGAACAGGAGAAGTGACTAAGCTTGTTCTTGATAATGGAGGAAGAGCTAGATGTCCTGAGCCAGCATAGTTTTGCAAATTATTATCTACTTTGCTCAGTTTTGCAAAGTCCAGAAATGTTTTAAATAACATTTTCTTAAAATAAAATTTAGCGTTTATGTTGACTTTAGAAGCCAGCGGGAAGCATTCCTGACATAATAGATCACCTTCTTTATTCTTTAAAATGCCTGAAGTATGTTCTAATATAATGGCAAAGATGCCAAATTAACTCTAGAATGATTCAAGATTACAGTATGGAAACTCAAGATTCAAGACCCATCTTCCACTACAAAACTCACAAGGTGAATTTCAGCCAGTCACTCTGTCTAAGTTTAAGGCAAACTACCTCATAGAGTTGCTGTGAGAGGAAAATGAAGGAAGCAAATAAAATAAACCACATCCTCCATTTCCAGTCTGGCAAAGGCTAAAAGAAAAGTAGGATTCTTTGCTACAGATAGTCCTTTAAGGCAGTTTAAGATATTTCCTTTTCCTCAAATTATTTAGGACAATCCAATGAAGAGTAATAGAAATGAATAACTACCAAAATAAAGTAACTCACATACTTTTTAGGTCACGTATTTTAGGATTTGTTGATATCAGGAAGGTTTCTAAAAATATTACTGGGTACATTGGAGAAAAACTTTGTCATGAATTTTTATTTAAACCATGCTCAGTTGGAGTAACCCAGGTTCAAGAAAAACAGAAAAGCACAAGGCCCTGGGCGTGGTTTTTCTCTCTCTCCCTAGAAGAGTTGATGAGATGTTTTATTTTGCAAAACATACAAAAGTGATGTGTGTAAGTTTCTATATTCTGTCTTATTACTACTGGTATTACAATTATAATTATTATCAAGGCAACTACTGTATTCTATACTATTACTATTGAATATACTGTACTATGGACCTATTATCTATATATTATGCCAGTGTTTCTCAACCTTGTCAACTTGAAGATGTCTGGACTTCAACTCCCAGAATTCCCAGAATGCTGGCTGGGGAATTCTGGGAGTTGAAGTCCAGCCATCTTCAAGTTGACAAGGTTGAGAAACACTGTATTATGCTCTATAGTATTACTAGCATGCATCAATGTTTCTTTCTTAAGCCTGTTCTGTAAGTCCCTTTTCTCTGAGATTTCCTCTTCTTTTACTGGCCAGCATGTAGGGCTGTTGCATCTTTTTTACACTATGCTTTGTGTTGCTGGACCTGTATGCCACCCCACACATCCCCTCTGCTTTTGAACCATTCACTTCTTCTAAAGGAAAAACAGTCCTTTCATTTGGCTGCTGTACTTGGTTTGCTGGTGGCTTCAGAGCGCATATCTCCTCTCACACCTGTGTCAAGGTTGCAGCTTTTTTTGGCAACACTGCCATGCTGATGCCGGTGGGAAGGCATCAAATAAGAGGGAAAAGAGGAAGGAAGCACAGCTTTTTTTTCAAGCAGTTTGCTTTCGCCCACACAAAGACAATAAATTCCAATATTCTTTTTAAAAGATGGTACTATAATAGCACTGGTAGTAAGAAAAACTGCATTATGCATTTTAATAAAAAGTTTTCCTATTCTTATAGAAAGTTTCCAATCCCATCTTTACAAATTGTTCTATTGTAAGGGTTGAATTGTTGATTAAATCCTAGAGGCAGAGACTTTTCATAATGTTTTTTAAGTAAAAGCAAAATAAGCCGCGATTTTGCTTTCATTTTCTTGGTGCTGTTGGTCATTATTACAGCTGCCACGGCACCTAATGGTCACTGTTATAACTGCAGTGGCAGAGAAATTCTAAATAGATTGTTAGAAAATACAATTGCATTTGGAAGGAGAAACCATCTGTTGTTGATCTCTTGGCCGTTTAAATACGGATCAGTTTCATAAAACTGTTATTTGGAGCTCAGCTCACGATTAACCAACTGGCTACACTGCCTTTAATTTTTTTGTTGAAAAGAGTATAATAATAAAAATAAGCAGATGGATTTTGCAGCCCTGACACATTCAAATCAGATAAGCAATAAGCTGTACCCTCTTTTACTACACTCAGTAGTAAATGAAGAAAGAAACATGACTCCTTCTCCTACATCTCTCCCCTCTTATTTTGTCACATATTTTTCAATATGGGTGCTGTTCTATGATATAAAATTAGGTGGCTAAGGTCTGAGCCCATCTTTCTCTTACAGCATCAGTATGTAGACATCCACAATTTCTCAACTCTGGCTGATAGATGGATGCAATATAAAGCCCCCCCCCCCCACCTTCAAATGTTTTGGATTTTAATTTCCAGAACGCTCATGTGACCTCCTTAGAGAGCATCAAGCTGAGGAACAATGCTTTAAAATGTATGGTATATAAACGTTTAAAGTGCTAAATTATGTTGTTGATATTGCTACTGTTAAAAATTAATAATTAATCACACAACTAAAGTGTAGCCAGTACCAAATTCTGTGCCTATTTATGTTTTTCCTTCCTTCCTTCCTTCCTTCCTTCCTTCCTTCCTTCCTTCCTTCCTTCCTTCCTTCCTTCCTCCCTCCCTCCCTCCCTCCCTCCCTCCCTCCCTCTTAGATAAAGGTCTATTGTATTTTCAGTATTTATTTTATTGTCTTAAAACAGGAAACAAACGTTTTGGGATTTAAGGGTCCTCGTAAAATGAGTGTCATCATACCTGGAATGAATATGGATCATGAGAGAGTTTCCATCAGACCACGGAATGTAAGTCAATCACCATTATACCAATTACGATAAGCTAGCTCAGCCAAGTTTAAGGATGCAATTACATGTCAGCCCTGGGGGACATTGGTTTTTAATTTCCTTCTTCATAGGTGAAGAAGCAGGTATGCCCAGAATTCATTTACAAATATTTTCATAGTCCCTGAGGACAAATTCAGACAATAGGAAAAAAAAGGGATTGAATGCAGAGAATGGGCAGATGCTATTACACTACCCCAGATTCTGGCGTAATTTATAGTCTTTGCAATGGGAGAGAACAGGGTTTTTCTTTTAATGTTGTTTTAATCTGAAAAAAATGTTTCTTGAACATACAAAATTCACCCCCTCTGCTTTGCTTGGATTTGTTATTAATTAGATTTATGTTCTGTCATTCCTCCAGGAAGTGAAAGAAGCCTAATGATTTCTCCATAGTCACTCTGTGAGATAGATTGGGTTTTTCCCAAAGGTGTTTCTCAGGAGGCAACTGCTCATTCTTGTTTTTTCATTAAAGATGTTTCTCCAATAAACTTCTTCAGTTCTGACAGGATAGTGGGGGATGGAAGGATTTATATTCCTTGCAGACAAGTGGTCATTTGCATCCTTTTAGAGGGTCCATCCTTTTAGATGGTCATTGAAGCACTTGGAGGTTTATCTGTGTCCTCAGAGTCACCTGAGTAGTGCTCCTGGTTCCTGTGGTCAAAGAAAAACCAAGAAAGTCCAGTTGCATCCTGAAAAAACACCTTTGGGACAACCATGACCTAGATAACTGAAAATCGCTACAGATTGAGTTTTTAATTCCCAGTTAATGTGTTAAAATGAGCCTGGCAGGTCTTTGGAGTTTTAGTTTCCATTTGTTCCTGAACTGGTTGTTCTGAAGTTAGGGATTTGCTAACTTTGTCATAATGACCCTCCTTCAACTCAGTGGGAAAAATAGAGAGAGCCATTTACTACTACTCTGACTGCTACTAACAACAATTGTTAGCATTGTTATGTCTAAAATAAGCATTATTATGTCTAAAAAATCTGTTAAGCTAGGGAAAAGAGAGAGAAGATGAAAAATAACACTTATCATAAATTAGAAAAAATGCCAGGGGGTGATGAGACCTCTGGAAATTCATTTCTATAAATTGTATAAGCAGTTACAGGAATCAGTAGCTTCCCAAATTAGTGTACCTGAAGATCTATGAAAGATATTAGTCATTTCTATATCACAAATACTACTACATATGCTACTTTGTAGTTACTAGCACTAGTAAGATTGGCCACAGATCATTTGATTGGTTTATATTCATTGGATTTAGGCCTATGCATGTTGACTTTTAACATGCCATTGTCAACAGCAGGACTTGGTTTGCTAGAAATTGTTTGCAGAGCCCTGTGTTTGGTTTCTGCAGATAGTACTAAAAGATTGCTAAAAGTTGTGTTCTGAGCGCCTGCTCAGTGTCAAGGTTCATACAAGCTCTTCAGCAGACAGTACTGGGGTTACATGTTCACACAGACAATCAGTGTCCTTCTGGCAGAAATGCCGAGAATGGAGAAAAAAACAGCACAATATGTGCAGCCTTTTAAAAAAAAGTTGCACGTTTTAAAAGTTGAACCAGGAAAACAATGCAAAATACAAGTTTATTCTTCCATTTCTGCCTTTTCTTTGGCTCCTGCTGCCCACCCTCCCGCCTCCACTCTTTAGGCTGGTGTGCTTTTGCTTTGTAAGCCAAAGAAAGCCTGAGGGCATAAGTCTGTCCTTAGCATCTTCAATCTAAGTGTGAGGAGCAGGGAGAGGCTATTTTCTCCTAGTTACACTGGTAATATAAGTGAATCGATTATGTTCAGCATTGTCTGCTGCAAGGAGTCTTTACATGTTATAGATGCTTCTACCTGATCTGAAGCACTCAACTATCCAGAGTTGTGGATAATGCGCTGCAGTCATGCATACAATAAGGCTCTCTGTTGCCAGCAGAAGAGCAGTAACTAATAGATAATCTTCTGTTCTCCAGAGTAGTGACTTGCTACAAGGAACTGTTTATTGCTACTTGAATTCTGCACTGAAACTATGAAGGTCTTTCATGAAGAGAGCAATAGCAATAAAAATACTACTTCTTAAAATCTGAGATATTGCTATCCCCAGATCTGTAAAAATTTTAAGGTTTTATTTTCATATATTCTAACAAGAAGGTTAAAATGGAGTTACTGGAGTAAAGCAAATACCTTCGTGGGAACTATGGAAAAATATATTGACATATTCATATCTTTTTGGGGAATTATGTCATTGAAGTCATTTGCATTCTTTCAATTCTATATTTTTCCTTCAGCCTGATTTTATATATATATATATGTGTTTTTTTTATTTGTGCTGATAAATAAATAAAGGGAGACTAGTATAGATCTATTTCAAGCTATTTAGCTCTCATCAGCTAGCTATACCCTTACTGGGATTTGAACCTGGGCTATATGGCATACTAGGCACACTAGGCAGAGATCTTAGCCATTAGGCCGCAGGCCTAGTGTGCCTAGTCTGCCTAGTGTGCCTAGTATGCCATATAGCCCAGGTTCAAATCCCAGTAAGGGTATGGCTAGCTGATGAGAGCTAAATAGCTTGAAATAGATCTATACTAGTCTCCCTTTATTTATTTATCAGCACAAATTAAAAAACACAAATATAACAAAGGCAACAGTAAAAATATTGGGTTTCTGTCGTGATGGACTCTTGTGACGAGCCGATTGACAGATGATGGAAGCAGTTGGCTTCCTCCCATAATTGGGGCTTACCAGGGGTTGTAAAAAAATCTAATATATATATATATATTAGATTTATATATATATATAAAGATCTTATTCATCCAATAGAGTTGGAAGGGATCTTCTAGTCCAACCCTTAGGCAGGAAACCCTACACCACATCAGACAAATGGTTATCCAATATCTTCTTAAAAACTCCCAGTGTTGGAGCATTCATAATTTCAGGAGGCAAATTCTAAGTTACTTCTCTCCTTGATTAGTTTCCACCCATTGCTTCTTGTCCTGCCTTCAGGTGAATAGTTTGACTCCCTCTTCTTTGTGGCAACCCCTGAAATATTGGAACACTGCTATCATGTCTCCCCTAGTCCTTCTTTTCATTAAACTAGACATACCCAGTTCCTGCAAAAATTCTTCATTTAATACTGGATCATCTGCAAGTCTGCTAAATCCATTTGCTATGCCATATAAAAGGTCCCAAATGCAACTGAAACCTTGCCCCTCTAGAATATGAACTACAACAGGATCTGGGAAGAATTTTGGCATGGCTATGATTTCCTTGGCAAGTTTTGATTTTTCTTTTCTGTGTATGTATATGCATGGCACATCTGTTTATCAAAATATACCTTTAACACTCTTCATCAAAAACTGATTCCAAACTAGCTTATACCACTTTACTATATATAAGCCTAGAATGTAACAAAGTTAATGTTTGTGTTTGTTAGTTGATTTCAAGCATGTTCCCCAATGACAAATGGAGTTAGAATAGCATGTAGGTTCTGATAATCTAAGCAGTTGATTTGGGAAGGGCATGGATTTTATTTTAGGGAGGTTTTGAACACTGGAATGGGGAAATTGGTATATATGCAAAGAGCAGAAGAGAGCTTTTGGCTAAACTGAAACTTATATCCGTGGTTCTGATAGGAACATGAAACACTCCTCTCAAGATGGCAAAACAAAAACACGGAGAGTGTCATTGAGCTGCACAACAAAACTCCAGTCTGGAATGATGATACTCAGTCTTATGTTTTAAATTTCCATGGTCGTGTAACACAGGCCTCAGTGAAAAACTTTCAAATTATTCACGACAATGATCGTAAGTATGACTTCTCTAGTTAAACTTGTTGGAACACAGATTGCTTTTCTGAAATCTAATGAGATCCTATGTACAATTATACTAAAGATATGTTAGGTTTCCTAAAAGCAAAATTCATGTTGTATTTCTCTTACTGCAGTTTCCTGTTCTCAGATGTTGAGAGCATACCTGTGCAATTTGGATGGTTGACATTCATTCATTTTGATGTTTTGATAGTTTTTGGCAAGGATGAAATCTAGGGCAATCTTTTCTAATAAGAGCTCCCAACTATTTTCAGCTTAAAACACTCATCTGTGTTCTTCTGGCTACATCTACTGTATCCTCAAGGATCTTGGGTTGAGCTGGAGAAAGGAAGAGTAAAATGAAATAAAATATGAATAGCTAAGGCACTGATAACTAGCTCTCAGAGTAGCACATACACAGCTTCTGATTTAATCACAATTTAATGGAGATAGCAGAAGAGGAAGAATTGGAGAAGATAACAAAATACAAAGACCTGCAGATAGAAATAGAATGACTGTGACAAAAGAAAGCAAAGGTAGCACCAATAGTATTTGGAGCATCACTTGAACACTATCAGCAGTGACAAAACAAGCGTCAGTCAATTGCAAAAGGCAGCTTTACTCAAAACAGCTTACATCCTGCAACAATACCTTTAAGACCATCAAATAGCCACATCTGTCTATCCCAGATCATTGGGAAGGGCTTCATAGGTCAATAAAAATGCCAAAGCCAGTCTGAACATCTGGCTGACTGTGCTACAAACCATAGTATAATAATTATTTTTGAGAGAGGCGAAATCTTTATAATGGGGGCGTAATTTCTGGCGGGATGCATATTTTTAAAAAAATTCCCCTCCTTAATTTAATCTATAAAGATATACTAATGCCCAAGGTTATCATCATATAATGGTGATGGGGAGGGGGCGGGCAGATGGTGTGCCTTCACCATTTAAACTTGTGCCAGAAGAAAGATCATCAATCTGATGAAAGCCCCCCCAGAAATGCCTGCTTAGGAAGTAGTTCTTCTCTTCATCACTGGTTCATTCACCACATCCTAACTTTGCTCTAAGCGTTTGCTGGCAGGCTTCAGTTTTGTCCTTTCAGCAGTGGTTTCGCAAAGCACGTTGAGAGGCAGCTATTTGGAGGATCTGCCGGCTTAACAATATGGAAGCTAAAGTGCGAGGAAAAAGGGTAGCTTGCTGAGTCTTTTCCAGTCACTGCAGCTGTCTTCTGATTTTGTTCTATTCATCCCACCAGCGTTTTTGGAACCTTTTCTGTTTCCTGACTTATAAAGAATGTCATTTATAAGGACATCCGTGCCATGGGCGGAAGTGGCGGATACCACACAGCTGGGCAACATTTCTTTCTTTCTTTAATCAGAACATTTTAAAAATCTATTCTAAAACATTCAAGGAACAAAATAAATAAACTGCAACACAAACGAAACAAAAACAAAAAAATAGTACATATGCAGACTTTACAAATTGTCATAATATTTAAAAGTCAGCATTTTATTGCTGAAATAATTTAAAGTAGACTGATATCTTAAGAAATACTTGATGATCACTACTAAAATTTAGATTTATAAAGAAGTCGCTACTATTTATTCCTAAAATATCTTGTGAACGTAAATTAAAAATAAATAAATCAGGAAAAGCAATATTAATCCTAAATTCCCTACTGTTGTACCTGGTGATTAAAATATAAGCATTAAAATAGCTTTTGTTTACTATCTTGACATCAAATATTTCCCCCTTAAACATAGTCTAAGTATCTGAGCTGGCCTAGTTGCATGATTTGTAATATATGGGCAAGCCCTACTTGCTTAATTTTAATCAAACTTCAGTTCTGAATGTGCACTTTTAATTTTGCTGTCACTTCATATTCCCCAGAGGCTCAGTATTTCATTGCTTTCTGAAGAACACTGTGTCCTAGTTCAAATTTCAGCTAATCTAAGGAGACCCATGATGGCAAACCTGTGGCACGTTTGCCAGAGGTGGCACGCAGAGCCCTTTCTATGGGCACATGTGCCAGCACAAGCTTGTCTTCAGGTTTCCAGCGTGCACAAAGACCAACTGGCCAGCATGCATGTGCACACCGGAAATCAGAAGAGCAGCTGGCCAGTACGCGCATGAGCACCAGCCAGCTGATCTTTGGGTTCCCGGTGCTCCAGTGCATGCATGTGTGCACGAAAAGTTTCGCCATCACTGAGATAGACGTCACTTCTTTTTTTCTAATTACACAGTTTGGTTTAGTAATGTCCTCATAATCTAAAACGTGTTAAAAGCCAAATTGATATATATTTATGTTTCTTTATTCTTTCAGCTGACTACATAGTAATGCAGTTTGGCCGTGTGGCAGAAGATATTTTTACAATGGATTATAATTATCCTATGTGTGCAGTACAAGCCTTTGCTATTGCCCTGTCCAGTTTTGACAGCAAGCTAGCTTGTGAGTGAACAAGTTATGCCTAAACTTCACTGCAGCCAAAACCATGTGCCACTGGAAGAAGAAAACATACATTCCACTTTTTTTCTGGTGTCATCAGTGGTCACATATCCTTATGAGGCAGGTAAAATTTGTTTTCTGAAGGACCAACCTTTTTTGATGAAGAGAAAATATTTTGAAAATTCAAGACTTTTAGGAATGTTTCCCCCGCTTATTCTCTATTTTTCTGGAAGTGGCATCAGAGCTCTATAAATAGAAGACTTATCTTAATGTCCTCAGTTCTGTTATAAAGATGCACATAATTGTGGCTTAAGTGAAAACACCATTGGGATCAATGATGTCTTTTTTAAAAACCCATAAAAGCTATCATGGCACAGATCTAGTTTTGGATTTAAGACATATTTGGAGGCTATCAGCATACCTCAAGATTTCATTCATACTTTTAAGGATTTTGTGTCACCCATCTCAAACATAAGACCGTGAGAAAGATGCAAACTTTTTTCAAGAAAGAAACAAGGTAGCATTTACTCTCAAAGCCAAGACTGAAATTGATTTGTGATAGTGTTTTATGTGGGAAGGAATCTGACAAATTTTTAATCCTGATGGGGAATGGAATGGGGTGGGGTGGGGGGAATCGGAAGCACAAGTTAATATTGCACAACTCACTTGTACTCCAAGGTGTTATTTTATAGATTGTGTTTTAAGTCTCCCTTTCTGATGTCAGTTCACTCTTGTTTTTAAGAAGAGAAGTTTGATTATGTGAAGTCATCAGATGGATGGGAGAAATAATGCTGAATCATTATACCAACTAAAAATTGGGAATATTCTAAAAGAAAGGAATAATGTGCTTCAACATGTATGATGTCTCAGGTCCCATATGTGGCATGTTCTGTCCAAGAAAGTTTTCTGTCTTTTACCCTGGAGAACTGCTGCCCTTTGGATAGACATGATTGAACTAAAAGTTGAGGGGCTGACACTGAACAAAGGGTGTACGTATGCTGTAAATTAATTGAATGACATCTAATTCTTTGAATAAATCTGTCTTGATAGAGCTGCCTCTTTTAAGAAATTGTTTTAGAAGATAACTGGAACTAATAATGAATGGCATTTGCTCTTTTTCTGCCCCAATAGAGGTAGTCCTTGACTTACAGCCATTCATTTAGTGACTGTTCGAAGATATGAAGACTTATGACCAGTCCTTGCACTTACGACATTGCAGCATCCCCACAGTCACAGTGATAAAAATGTAGGTGCTTGGCAACTGTATTTATGACAGTTGCATTGTCCCAGAGTCATGCGATTGCCATTTTCGACCTTCCCAGTTGACATCTGACAAGCAAAATCAAAGCTGGATTTACTTAACAACTGCATGATTCACTGAACAATTGAGGTGATTTGCTTAACAACTACAGCAAGAAAGATCATAAAATAGGACACCAGCTTACTTAGCAATAGAAATTCCAATCCCAATTATGGTTGTAAATTGAGGACCACCCGTACTGAAAGTTATATGCAGAGAAAGCTTCCAAAAACAGAAATTAATTGCAATGCCTTCTTGATTTTAAACAGATGGGTTTTATTTTATTTTATTGGTGCCTTGTCCAAAAACAAAGGGACACTTCACCAGGGTACCCCTATTCAAAATAATATTGGTAGCTAAAGAGAATATTACATGGATAGCAATTTATATACCCCCAAATATACTGTCTTCACTACTGCAGAGGCTTCATTAAATTTTGGAGCACCTAATGGAGGACCTAATGGAATCACCTGGAGAGATAAAATCAGTAAAGATGAGCTCGTCTCTTCATCTCTTCAGCCAGAAGAAAATTTCTGCTGGATCAAACTATTCCTACTAATAGAAGGAGATGCTTCTATCTGTAGAAGACTTTTTCTGGATATAACTATGTATGCATGTTTGTGCCTTTTTACTAACAAATCATTATATTTCAGAATGCAAGCTTTGGCTTATCTCATTTTCTTGGGATTTTTTTTTTTAAACATTAAGTGTACTAAAAATTTGAAATCAGAATCAGCTTTCAAGGGGATCTGAACATTTAGTATTAGTTTCATGGTTGTTTCCCACAAAATGATATTGAATGTGACTGGTATACATAGAATATATAACAAGACTCAGCAGTGCCAGATTTGAGGGGGGACGTACATTTTTGGTTACATTTTCACTAGATTCTACAAGGGCTGTTGGGTTAATTGTAGCAGGTTTACCTTTCTGTGACTTACTAAGGACAATGTGCATCCAGTGCTGATTACAATTTTGCTGATGCTTACATCAGCACAGAAATGCAGGTGGTTGGTCTGTGAATCTTCTTTTGTTTTAGATAATTAACATTCCTCTTGTAGTAGGTGAACACTTCTATGCAAAATTGCAATCTGTTTGGTACCCTTTGAAATTGCCATTCTCCCAAGTCAAAGAACATTGATGACAAAGATGAAGTGATCACTCTGTCAGTTGGAGAAAAACCTAAAAGAAAGCGAATTCATCTAGCAGCATTTTTTGTATAGTAACACACTTTGTGATGAAAAGACATGTAAGTCAGAGAGTTGAGTAGTTACAAATTAGGGAATACATAAAGATCCATCCCCAGATTTTGCAGCAATCTTTTCCTTAGGTATATTAATAAGTCTTCTCAAAATTAGATTTATTTAAACTAAGGCTGTCATTTGGACAACTTATTTGAGGATAAGCCCCCTTGCAGTTAATATCACTTGTTCAGAATACTGTGTTAGAATTGCCCCTTAGGAAGTATATTTGCAGCTGTGGCCTCAAATTTTTTGACATGGTCATAAAACGTAGTCTTGTCAGTACAAATATATTAGCATATGTTTCACATTTAAATTCCTTGAAATCAAACAGACTTCCTCTAGGTAAGATTTAGTCATATTTATCTGAATGGGTCAATTTTAAACCTGATGAAGCCTAGATCTAATTTGTTGTATGATATGAAATTCAGTTGTTTGGCTTATATTCATCCAAGATTGAAAAGGGTTCACAAGGAGGAATGCTTGTCTCTAATCTGTTATATTTTTCTCTTGGTGAATCCTTGCAAATTGAGATAAGGAACTTGTAGTGGATAAGATTTCAAGGTATTGCTACTTTTGTTGTTGTTGTTGCTTTGATTGGACACTTTTGGAAAGAAAATGGCCTCAATGATCCTACTTACCCATTATTGGTAATGGGTACACTTTCCCTTGAGCCAGTCTATCTGCAGTGATCTAGATTTTGGGTGGGGGGAGCTGCAATCTTGTGATTGTTAGCTACGTATTTTGTTCTCAGTTTTTATGAGCCTGAAGAAGCATTGAAATGGTGACATCATTTGGGGAGCAGGTTGGATGGTTTTCAGAGAATTGGAAAGTTATTTTGGGACAGGGTAGGAAAGTTTAGCATATTTCATAGAGGTGATCCTAGAGGTGAGTTAAACAATAGTAGAAATAATTTTCTCAGTACACAGATACAGATACATATGTGTGTAGAGCAGCCTACTTACTGTTGTTATTACTTTGGCTAAAAAAATGTCAGAAGCAAGCTCCGCAATCTTTACTTTCTGATTTGTACCTTGAAACAATTTGGATTAATCTTAAAGAAATGCATTTCATTCCCAAATGATAAGAAAATTCACATTGAGAATGGAAAACTACTTTTCAGACTCTCTATGTACTTCATCATGTCAATCATTAGACAATCTTAAAGCAATGCTGATGATGTTTGGGGGGCAAGACAAGCAAGGAGGCAGAGTAGCATAAGGATCTAAAGGGAGAAAAGGACAAAGGATGAAATGAGCATCTCAATTGAGGACACAAACTGCCCTTTTTTTTTACATGTTTTGTATATGCATGTATGGAATGGATGGAGGTTGTGTTGTGACTTTGTGAAAGTTGTTTGTGACATTCTGACAAAAAACTCAGATTCCTTGGGCCATCTATTTAGGGCAATTAGGAATAAAAGCATGCATGGTATAAAAAGTGGATGGGATGGAAATGGAATGTCCCCACCCACCCCACTACCCCCTGGCAGTTAAGGTCAGGCCACTTCATTGATTGGTCTTAAATTCAGCACAGCATATACTTCTTTAAGCAACATATGGACTTATATGCAACAAATTTTACCCTGATAGGTTGCAGTGCAGAACATTGACTAATATGATTTTAAAACATTGACTAAATGTTAATGGTATGCAATTCATCAGTCAACTAATGGCTTGGTAGAATATCCATCTGTGACCCGCTTGTGAACTTTGAAACTGGATCTTAGTATTCTTAATCAATAAAGGAGAATATTTAATATATATTAATATTTATTACTCTCCTTTATTGAATCTTAGTCATTTTGCAAAGTGAGATATTGGATTAGAAGGACCCTGAATCTGAGCCAGCCAAGTTTGCTTATATTCCCTTAAAAACATTTCTAGAGCTTTCAGAGCAGATTCTTTTTTCTTATCATGAAGTGCATTAGTTGGATGGTCACTCCACACAAGACCAAGACAACTAGGGTAGATAATTTTGATTGCTATATACTCCAGAGAATGACTAGAGGTAGACATTTCTGGAAATCATTCTCTATTATGAAAAGCCTCCCATTAATAAAGCTTTATGGGCCTTATGAGTATATGGATTCTGATTGTCCCACCCATGAGCTCTATTAATGAGCCCTCCCCCTATTTGTGAGGCTTTCCATGAAGGTTGGGAAACTAAGAACAATATGTGTAAAAATTCAAAGCAGTTTCTTTATTGTGTGTTCTCCAGGGTGGATAAAAATAGATGATTAAAAAAATAATTAAAAAATCAGATATTTTAAAATTTAAATTGGATTTTTCAAAATTTAAATCAGATTGTAGCATGAGGCTGTATAATCTGCAATGTTTACATTTTTTAGTAAACTCATTCGATGAATCCAAACTCTGCAAACTGAGATAACATGCACTGCATTGATGCATTCACACAATTTCACAGTAATCATGAGATAAATCATAAAACAAAGTTCAGGAATGTTCCTTTATCCCATTGTTTTGCAAATCTATGTACACTACAAGCTGTTGATTGTTTGAAGAGAAATGCATCTGTACCACCAGGTTCTAAGTGTGAGGAAGAAGGACAAGCAGTAAAAATGAAAGTGAAGCCTTCTAAGCAGCTTATAAATATAATATTAAAGAGCACCTATCATTTCAGATCCATCAAGTCAGTGCCTGTTAGCGGGCATCCACTCACCTTCTGTCTGCCATGTCCCTCACCTTGTTGTCTCACTGCCGCATCACCAGCCATCCTATTAAAGTGAATGGGTGTTGGAGAGTCAATAACGGGTCAAAGTAACAGCCGCTGCAGGACAGAAATGATAGTTGCTCTTTAAAAATTATGATTTAAATCAAGTTGATTTAAATCAAGCCTTTTTACTACTGATTTAAATTGTGATTTAAATCGACTTGGTTTAAATCAAATCCACCCTAATGTTCTCCCATAGACAAAATCTTGTTGGATCAAAGCAGACTCTGCATAACTATCTGATAAATGCTGAGAAGAAATTGGAGACGATTCCTCCTGTGTAATTTCTGCATAGCAAAGATTCAAGGTTGATGCTTCTCTTTACTTCTCCCTCTTGTAACTCAGCACCAGATTCCACCACAATTAAGGTGGTTCCATCTGCTACAATGTACTAGAAGTTGTGATGTCTAAAAATATCTATGTATATCTTTATAAAAGTTCTGAAATAAAAACACCTAAATAGTCCCAATACAATAATGTCCATATTGTATTCAGCCAAAATAATGGTTTCTGTTTGAAGTGTAGTACCTTCTTAGGTAGAAAACATCAATGTTGATTACTTTCCCAATATTTTGCTTCACTTCATGAAAAGGCTACATTTTCATCCTCATCAAAAGTCTTTGAGAAATTCCCAAGTCGAGGTCAGTAACCAAATTTGACCTGAGGTTTTGGAAGTCTAGTGAAAAATACTGTAGGATATCAGTAATATTTTGAAAAACTTATTTAATGTCAATAGGGAAAACAGAGTTAAGCAAGAAGACACAAATATTTTTGGATGCTCAGAATTTACCTACATGAATGTGTAAATATTTCTACCTGGTTTTGTAATTTTATTTTCCTTGGCACTAACTTTAGGAATTCAAGGAGTTTCTATAAGTGTTTCAGTTTTTGCCTACTTTTATTACTGAAAAATGAGAAATGAAATGGATGTTTGCTCCATAATGTTAGAAGCGCTTTTGTTAAGGAATTCAGTTTAGTCACAGCAAAAAGCAGAGTACAGTAAATAAAACATACAATGTAATTTCACCTCTTCTCCACACTGTTCAAACTCTGCCAAAGTTCCATATATTATGTACAACTGGAATAAAGCACATCAAGAAAGTTAGCCAGAAATGCTCGATACTTTTTTGAGTCAGGATAATTTGTTATCTTTGCTTAGCTCTCTTTGTAGACATATAATATTCCAACTGCAGAAATACCAAGGTGTTTGTGTAAATGTCAGGATATGAAAGATTAAGAAGGCGTAGCGCTGCAGCACCATCAGAATGAAAATGAAAAGCAAATAAATTAAAACCAGCTTGTAAAACACATGAGAAATTATATTTCATTTCCCCTTTCTTATAGCGTTCTAATAATTATTGTTTAATAAAGTTTATGCTGCAACTTGTTCATACCTTTTTCTTGAACCCTGAGACTGCCATTCTAGCCACAGAGAAAAACCTAAAGAATACTCTTAGTATTCTCTTAGTTCTGAGAAAATATTCATACAACTGCATTGGCACTCTAGTTCTGCTTTGACAGGTAGATCTATCCCAGAGAACAAGATAGTATGTCTTGTTCCAAATACCGTTTCCAAAGAAAAAAAGTCAAAGTTCAGATTGGTACTTACCAAAAGAAATATTCCCAATACGCTTCTCTGCTTGTTTTTTAAGTGGTAAGCCTCTCTAGTGCAACGTGGTTTAAACCTCAACAGAAGCCAGAGATTTGGTTTAAACATCACTTAAAACCCAAAGCGAACAAAAGATATCATGGTTTAGTGCTATTAATTGACTCCAGTGCTGTAGGACCTGGCATGCCAGGGAAGATCCTAGTCAACCCCTGATGTCAGCTGAACTTCTGCTCAAAGCACTCATATTTCGAAACTAAAGATAGCTGATGCCATTTTTTTTCCTTACAACATTTCTCTTTATTATTTTTGTTTTTCTTCTAAAGGAATTTTTTTTTAAAAAGTCTCTTTTTTAATATTTTCATTTCAGACTTGGCTTTAGTGTAAAGCTTATTTTATGTATGTATGTGTGTATGTATGTATGTGTGTATGTGTGTATATACATACACACATATATAATGTATATACACAGTATATGCGTATGTATGTATGTATATATTTTCCATTTTTTGTTTTTGTTTTGTTTTACTTAATAAGAAAAATTGTGATAACTGATCATATTCCTTATGTTAGGAAATATGAAAAAATCCCATTCTCTTGGGCAAATAATGGCAGCTCCATGAAATGCAAGTTTATTCCTTTTTCTTTCTCTCTCCCCCTCTCTTATTCTAATCTCTCCTTCAGTTTCTCTTGGGTTTCACTTTCCACAATCCTCATTAGACAAGGCATTGGCTGTTCTGGAAAATGAGAGGTGGCGTTTACATGTGTAGGTGTACATATAGATACTATCCTTTAATTGGAGTTATTAATTGAGAAAAACCCATTGCAGCTACTTTTATTGGTTAATCATTGCAACCACTTTTTAACACATACATTATCCTGTAAAGCTAACAACACAAGCTATGTGCCTCTGTGTATATCTCTGACACAAAGTTTTCTTCTATTCTATTCTATTCTACTTTCCAGATTTTGGCATAGAGACTTTGTTATTCACAGATAGTTGGGTTAAAGGCATTTTGAGAATTGTAGTTCAACATATTTGGGTGAGGTTCATCTTGGCTGTTATAAATTCACCCAGAACAATTTTCTTAGTTACACAACATTTTCCTTCTTATGACATTTTCTAAAAATGTTAATGCAGTTCTTCACTGGAGGGATATTTGCCCTGAATAAATCCCTGAATTTTAACCGAGCCAAAATCAAACTTTGTATATGACAATGTTAACATCATGTTAGGAATAAAATGGGTTCATGTAAAATAACATGATCTCTGACCATTTTGAGTGGGTCTGATTTGGTTTGGAATCTAACATTACATAGAGGACCACAGAATGTTATCCCTGAATTATAGTATATTTCAAAAGTAACATGAACATTCCTAGTAATGTCCTTGTTTGGCATTGTAGCTGCTTTTCTGTTTAGACTTTCATTGATTTGTCCCCCCAAAAAGGAAAAAAATCAAGCACTGTTTGCTTTGAAACCCATTACTAGTGCATCAACAACTATCTATCATTGTTAAATATCTCCTGGTACTTTGCATATATTGTATACATGAAGAGCAAAGTATGATTCAGTGCACAAGTGGCTTGCAGATACTATAGCACCTGATGGAAACACTTTAAAGCAGTTGCATCAGAGGTGGGTTGCTGCGGGTTCAGTTCCCGACGCATGCACAGAAGTGTTGCACATGCAAGTGTACAAGCGAACCAGTAGTAAACCAGTTAGCAACCCACCACTGAGTTGCATCATTTTCTGGGCTCATCCCACTGTCTCTCATAACCAGTGCACAAAACTAGAAAAGACATGTTGAAATGGTACAAATGTACCAGATTATGTTTGCCCTGTTGCATAGCTCCAATATCTATATTTTGGATCTAAGCGGTTAAGACACCCGCTAGACACCAGGAGACTTGAGTTCTAGTCTTGCCTTAGGCATGAAAAGCCAGCTGGCTGACTTTGGGCCAGTCACTCTTTCTCAGCCCAGCTCACCTGACAGGGTGCTGTGAGGAAAATAGGAGGAGGAAGGAATAGTTGTATGTTCACTGCCTTGATTTATTTAACAAGCTCTACTTGTTACATAGTTTTTGAGCTGTTTGTTTTATTAAGTGGATTCCTTATCGTATGGGGGCTTTAACTGATAAAACATAAAAAGAGAGCTTGGATAACAATTTGGTATTACCGTCTTTTAAGTATGAAATTTTGGGAGGTCATGACCTTCAGATGTAGCCTATAGCACAGATGGCTAGACTCCCGTAAAATTTCCTTGAGACTAATTGTTAAAAGCTGCATCTAGTGAAGAGTAGGTTGAAGCAGTTATTCTTTTATTCTGCCATCCTTTATCTCTTATCTCTCCTCCCAATATATTACTTTCACTCTTGCTAGAAAGCTGCTAGAAGAGGACAAAATCACCGCGATCTTCGTGAATCATGATCTCTCACATACGTGGCCAATTTGTATATAGGGATTTTTAAAATAAGGACTAGGATCAAATGTTGCCCATTCTGGTATATAAATCCATGAAATGGTCAAGATATAGTAGCAGATTAATAAGGGAGGTTTTCAGTTGTCACATAAACTGGAAATTATTACAAATTCCTACAGAATTTTCAAAGTGCCCTTAGGAAACAAAATTCTGCCCTCAAAATTTGCAGAAGAAATCAACAAACTTACTTTGAAGGACGTCCCATTTTCTCTCAATTCTGGTTCTCCTCTTTCCATTCTCATGCACTTATTCATTGTATATCTAGTTATCAATGAAGAACTGCACTTCCTTTAGACTGTTAGCTTTCCATTCTGTCTTTTCTCCAGGGGCTCCTTTGGGTGTGATGCTCCCTCCCTCCCCCAGTTTTTCTCATAACAATACCTCTGTAAGGTGGATGAGGTTGAGAGGGCCAAGTGGCCCTTGTAGCTGAGTACCTGAAAAAGTCTTGAATCCATATCTCGCCAACTGATATCTAACAATGTAAAACCACAACATTATGTTATGTAACTAATTAAGGCAAAAGTAATGGGAAAAGCAAGGTAAATTAACAGCTTTGGCCAATTGACTATTATGTGTAATATAAAGTTGGCCATTCGCTTGGTGCCTGAGTTCTAAGGAATAAATCATTGTCTAGCACATTGGCAAAGAACAGCATTGGGGAAACTTATGAAAAATCCAAACTTTTTTTTTTATACATGGTAACACGTAACAGGAAGAACAAATTAAAAATGTAGTTTTCCTGGGCTATTGTATTAATGTTTTACAAACCAAGGGAAAGCACATGAAGTACTTCCCCCCCCCCCCAAAAAAAAGGGGCTTCAAAATTGTAATTTCAGCAGATGCTGCCCGACTCTGTTTATGGAGCTTAATTTAAGAAGGCTGTCATCCTACTACTCTTATTTTCAAAGAATGATTTCTTGGTCTTACATCAGAAGAGACATGTCTTTGATTTCCCCGTGCAAAAAGGAAAAAGAGAAACCAATTATCTACCAGCAACGTAAAGCCTTCCTTAAATAGTTTTTAACTGGGAAAAAAGAGATGAGAATAAGTTGTTCCTATTCTGTTAATGTGGAAAGATTTTGTTTTATTTTCTGGACAAAGGTCCCAGTTTTATCCTGTGCCACAATCACTAGTCTGTAAAAAGTTTCAGGTGATGGCAAGACAGCAACAAAGAGGTAGAGTTTTCTCTTTCTTTCTTTTTTATCATCTAGTGATTGTCAGTTTTGTATTCCTGATCTTAATAGTATTTATTAAGTATTATAATGGGAGAATGAGCCACATTTAATACAGCAAAACTCATTTCTAAGCAGGCATGCAAGAGAAACTGATCCCTTTGCTTCTTTTAGATGGAGCTGTTGTTCTTTTCTTTTTTCCCCCTCCTCTGATGATGTTAACTGTGGGCCACTGAAATGTGTCTGTCATTCCCAGATTTGGGCTGTGCAAGTTTTTCAACCCCTCGTGAGAATATAATGAAACCATATCAAAGAAAGCATGATTTGGATGTCTTGTTTGATTGGACCTAAAGAATGATGCTTGTTTTGTGGCTTGAGAATACATGCAATTAGTCAGCCAGAGAAACAAGTGTATATGTTTTTTAACTACATGGTGTGCTTTGCAAGGCATTCAACAACCATGTCCTACCCTCCAAATTCTGGAACATTGACAGTGTGCCACAAGCACTGAATAAGCCAGCTGCCTTTTCTGTTTTGTGTTTTTTTCCCCCAGGCTAACTAAAACCTACTGTAATTCAGGAGAATTTAGAATAGAAAAACAGGGCAAGAAGAATGAGCTGTCCCCTTCATTAGCACTATAGCCTTATTGGCATATACCTTTGACTCCCATTCCAAGCATCCCAAACCCTGCCTTCGTTGCATTTAGTTTTATAATTTAGGCTGGTTGGAAGGTTGGCCATGGAAAAATCTTTCAAATTTAGACTTCACAAATGAAGTACCAATTTAAAAATATTTCTTTTTCAAGGACTGGCTATAGATTTGAAAAAGTATTATCAGGACAAAAGACCTCGGGAAATATCTCTGTTGGCATTTCAGCTCTAAACCAGACTTTGACACTCTAATGTCCTCTGCATGGTCTGGTTTGTAACTCCCAGTATTAGAATGAATAAAAGTCCCATCTGTTTTATACCCAGCACCATCTTTCAAGTTCCAAATTTCCCATGGCAGGGGTGAACGCTGCCAAGTTCACCAGCCATCTAAAAATACTGGCTGTTCCCTTTCAGAGGAAAGAGTTTGTAACAAGGACATTTGGGGTATTAACCAAGGTCAGTCAGCATACCTGGGGCCTTGCTTTCACATTTCTCATTCCAGGCTTCCCTTTAGATTGTTGGCCTACAATTCTTTTCGAAGAGATTTTGAGAAAACTGGCAAGAGCATTTCCACATTTTCTCAACCATTATCAAAATTTGGAGGTTCCTGGGAAAAGTTATAGCTAGACTCTCCTCCTCTCTCAGTGCTCACATCACCCCTTCAAAATTCAGTAAGATTTGGCGCATCATATATTTTTTATGTGTGTGCCTCATTATCAGATGCCATCTGTAGAGGACACACCTGTACGACCCTCAAGAAGTTGCATCATTATGGTTAGCTGTTGTTCTTTGGCTTGAAAAATGGCAAGCAATGTACAGGTAGATCAGGGATGTCAAACTTGCAACGTCATGGCGACGTCACATGATATCACGACTGTTTTCCCCTTCGGTAAACCAGGCGTGGGTGTGGCCGGTGTGTGACGCATCCAGCCCGTGGGCCGTGAGTTTGACAGCCCTGAGATAGATTATAAATCCTAATTATGACTGAGGCAAAGGCTGCCTAGAGAAAAGTCTGATATTCAGTTACTCTGAAGGGTCCATCCCATCATAAACTTAAATGGTTGGTGAAATATAGAAAATATATTGCTAGTAGGCTGCAGACAAATGTGTAGCTTTGAAGGCAGAATATTTAGATTTGTCTCCTCAAAAATATGTATGTGCATATATATATATATTTTAAATGTAAACTGGCTTCTCAGTTGTACAAAGCAGAACCTGGAGTGCAAGTGAACAAAAATTGCTAGCAATGCTTTCTCTCATGCTAACTCATTCTAATTCATCACTGTGCCTTTCTTAAAAATAAAAATAAAACCAATGATCATTCTAATAGATTTTGACCACGTTCCTGTCTCAAGTTGTTTTAAATGGTGTTTGAGTTAAGGAGGGAGGGATATGGGGGTCTAAGAACAATTAGGAGTAAGAACAAATATTTAAGCAGTTGTATTTTTGCTTAAAGCTTAGAATGTGTTATGTCAATTTGCACAAGACTGTCTTGTCCTGTTGAAGCAGTCAGGCACTCTTTCGTTTGTTTCAAACTCTCTAGAATTTTAGAAAAATCTGAGAAAACGTGGTTTATGATGCCGATTTTTAAAAAAAATACTTTGGTATTTCTGAAGCAAATGTATTTATTTATGTGTATAACTAATTTGGTATTTTCACATAATTTACATTGTGTATGTTGTAGAGATTACAGTATATATGTCAATACAGAAAATCTGTGCAGAAAAAATTAAAACTTGAATTTGTTTCAAAGGATGGTGGTATTTTTTCAGAACAGCCATATTCATCACTTTCTATTTGTCTTTGTTCTTTAGAACGTAAATTAAAATTACTTACTTTTGTAACAAAAACTGTCTCAACTGTAATCTTGGCATTTCCTGTTTCTATTGGGGATTCTGACAAATGCCAACCTCCTTTATTTGAGTTTTTGCTGTTCAATCCAACTGAATTATATAAAATATTTATCTGTGAAATCTTGCCTGTCATTCGTTTAAAGCATGAAATGGGAAAATATTACACTGCAGCCATTAGAAAAATGTAAACTGATTCTATTTGTACCCAGATACACAAAAAATGTGCCGGGGTGTTTTCTTAAGGTTTATCCCCACAAATAAAAACATCATGCTTAGAAGAATAATACATTACAATCTTTCTACTACAAGTAGTCCTCAACTTACAACAGTTTGTTTAGTGATCATTTGAAGTTAAAACAGCACTGAAAAAAGTGACTCATGACTATTGTTCACACTTATGACCATTGTAGCGTCCCCATGGTCATGTGATCAACATCCAGACAATTGGCAACTGATTCGTATTTATGACCATTGCCATGTTCTGGGGTCCTGTGATCACCTTTTGTAGTCTTTTGACAAGCAAAGGCAACGGGGAAGCCAAATTCACTTAACAACCATGTTACCAGCTTAACAACTGCAGTGTTCATTTAACAACTATGGCAAGATAAATTGTAAAATGGGATAAAACTCAATAAATATCTCACTTAACAAGAGAAACATTGGGCTCAATTGTGACTGTAAGCAGAGGATTACCTGTACTATTTTTATTATTGTTTCAGAGGTGGGTTGAAGGCATGAAATTATGCTGAATGGGAGGACTTCACAAAATCAGCCTTTCTTAAAGTTTTCAGTAATTAATCTCTTTATAACTCAAGTAGCAACTGATCAGACACAAAGCTTTGACAGCCCTTCCCAATCTGATGCTGTTTATGTGTTGGGATTATAGTTTCCACCATGTCTAACCAATAGCTATGCTAGCTGGGAATTTAAAATATCATTCCAACACACTGGGAGACACCAGGTTGTAAGGAAGGGTGAAGTCATTGTAAAACATTTATCAGTGATCATAAAGAACTTCTACCTACAAAAACGCAGTACATTCTTCCAACAAGTAAGTTCACCTTTCCTTTCTAGCTGAATGCTACCAGAAAGAGAAGAAACGACAAAAACCGAAGGCAATTTCCTTACGCTTCCCAACAGTGCAATGACATAATTTATGAAAGCTTCAATCCAAATATTACCCCTGAAATTAGTTACAGTGGCTCTACATGAATGTCCATTCAGAAATAAGTCCACCTCCACTATCCATTTCAATGGAATTTCTTCCCAAGTAGCTAGCTAAGATTGCAGGTGATATATAATTACCTGGAGCAAATCCATTCAATTTGATGAGACTTATTTTGCCTAATATTGCTTGGCTCAATCTTTCCCATTCTTACTTGAAAACAAAGAAAGAGATTTATGATGGACAAAGCAGACATATGGAGTATTTGCTGCTCGATGAGCTTGATAATTTGCCTGAAGGTGTTTCATAACCCGGCTAGGTAACATCATCAGTGCACTGAAATGTTGGCAAGCAAACAATCAAGCTCAGAGACCACCAAGGACCCCACAGTTGAACCCTGAGCTATAAATATTCTATTCTAAAGCAGATATAGTACGACCCTTCTTCCTACTAACCTTTGAAGTCAAACTTGCATAAAGTCAAACTTGCATACAATGATACATTTAAATACTAATTATAATTTTAACAGGTGTTTCTGCCAAATAATTTATAGAATCTTCTAAGATCATCCGATTACTCTTATGTCAAAATGCCAGTAATGTGGGCAGGTTTTATATCGCTTTGATAGTAGCTGAGTGATGCTGGGCAAATATTGTAAGTCACTAGTGTGGAAATCAAACGAAAAAAATATTTCCATGTAGATTAAGCTGCTAATGCTCTGCAAATATGCAGAAATGTCATACAATGATGCTTGGTTTATCCATCATCTAGTTTTATCCTGAATATCAACTATAAGCCCCTCGTTTCACAATGCTGCTAAGACAAGTTCTGTATCAGGGGTTCTTTTTTTTTCAAAACTTGTTCTGACTTCCTTTCCTCTAGATTATAGCCAAACACTCAGGCTGAAGTGTAATTTGACAAGATGCGATAGAAACCATCAGTGTAAAAGCAAGATAGCAAACAATGAGCTACAGGTGAGATGAGCAAGATTGCTTGTTTCCTTTAAAAAATACATTAGCAATCTTTGCCAAAATGACACCACCTGCTCTTTTTTAATTAGATAGAGAAAAAGATACATCGCTCGCCCCAATGTTTGTCACCACATGGGGAAAAATTCCTGTCACTTCACATCCAATGGCAATTCATCAAACTGCCAGGAAGCAATAGAAATTGCAACCCAATACACCTTGAAGGTCCCATCTGGGGATGACTGAAGCAGCCAATCAATTATGGAGAATTCTGGCTACCAGGCAAGATGATCAACTTATATTTTTCTGGATGGGGCGACACTGAAGTGCTAGGAATGTAGAAATCAACCTTGAACCAATTCAAATTTTGGCACCTTTGAAAAAAATGCACCTCTTCTACTTAGATTTCCAAACCAATTGGGAAAATCAATCAATAGACTTCCTCTTCTATTAGGAAATAAAATGCACAAAAACTTCTCAAATTTCCAAATTATTTATTCTTTTCAGACTGATTCACAAGCATCCAATATCGATGTGCAATGCTTCAAATTTGATCCACAAGTATTGGGTGTGTCTCGGTGTCTGTAAACTTGCTTAGGAAGCAATCACATTTATTCCCAGGATTGCATGATTGCAGCTGCATGGGCCTATAAAATGAGACCATTTTAATGAGTCACAGGATGGTGTTATACTATTATGTGTGATCCAACAAATCTGTTCTTATTTAAATCCAGATCACTGGACAGTCTTAACATCCAATTAAATTTGATATTTCACATCCCTTCAGAGATTGGAAATTTGAATCAAACCACTATATCAACCAAATGGCCTATGAAATATCTTTTGCATGCTGTAATTTCTTCATTTTAAGATATGAAATGTTTTCTCTCTTAGCAAAATGAGCCAAGAAATCTATCTAAACTGTACTACTTATATAATGATTAAATGTATTGATCGTTTGCTGCCCTTATATGTTACTAAAAATGAACCACATCAATTTATGTAGGACATGTTTTGCTCTTATTACATAAATACTGAGAAAAAAAATGAGAACATCCCCTTTCCTTGGATTGCTTTTTGCACTTTTTACGGGGCTAGGCAACGCAGTGAATCTACGCTGCAGTCTTGAAGACAAAAGCTGAAGAAAAAGGCATAGAAAAACTATGTAAAATTATCTTGTTTTCAAAATCTTTGGAAGCCATAGCAAGGGAGACAATTAATACTGTTGCAAGATTTCAACTGGGCACACAACACAGAAGTTAAGCTTGGTCCTAAAAGCAAAGATCACAGTCTGTGCAGGTGACACGTTTGTACACAATCCTCAGTGTCCGAGCAACTCGGTGCCTTTTGTGTTTCGCTTTCTTAGGATACCAATTTCATCAGGATCTTCATCATTTTGCTCTGTGGATACCATATTTCCATAATCGCAGTCCAACAGCAGCTCCTCTTTAACTACTTCTTCTGTTTCACTGCAGCTATCGGAGAAGAATCCTGCATTTTCTGCTAGAACAGCAGGATCATCATCATCATAGTGGCAACAGTAGCACTCCTCAAAGTTATGTCCAGTCCCACTCTGAGCACTGAATGTGGTCTGCTGGTTCTTCTCAGATCCTGCTGCAGAGCTATTGTTCACTATGGCAAGAGCAGACAAAAGAGTTTCACTATATAAACAGTCCTCATTCTCCAGAAACTCCATTTGCTCAGCTATCTCTTCAGCAGAAGGCTGGCTTGGATCTGGGCAATCTACCAGAATCGTGTCCTGTCTGTGCCTGAAGCAATCAGAGTTATCATAAACAGGAAAGGTCTCTTCTGGATAACCTTAAGACATAAAATAAACTGGTCTTAGATTATACAGTGAATCCCAACACCTTGTTCCCAATATTATCAGAATTTCTGATAAAAGCCAGACTTTGGGAATCTGGGGAAGCCGTGTGGTAAATGCATATTTACCTGACATAAATTGCGGTCACACTTTCTTTCAAGCCAGTGTTGCTGGAATTCTAGATTAGCACAGTTTACTTGGACTCAGGAGGGGCAGCTTGGTGTAGTGGTCAAGGCACCAGGCTCGAAACTGGTAGACCCTGAATTCCAATCCCACTTGGAACATATGGGTGACCTTATGCCAGTCACTCTCTTTCAGCCCTAAGAAGCAGGCAATGGCAGACCACTTCTGAAAACCCTTGCCAAGGAAAACCGCAGAGACAAGCCCAGATAGTTGCTATGAGTCAAAAACTGACTCAAAGGCGTACAAAACCCTTGGAGATATGCAATGTGGTACCGCTTTGTCCCTGCGAGGTGCCCTTTTCACTATGAGAGGAGTAAAAGGTAAGATATAAAGCTGAGCAGGCTTCACTCTAACCTTCCCAGTCTTGCATATAAGGAGCCTCTTCTGCTTCTTTCTCCGGGGAGATGCTGTCAATGAGTTTGCCTTCTTTCATGACTTTAGTAATTTCCCGGAGTTGTTGAAGAAGCCTTTTCTCCTGATCAGTTGTGACATTTGGGGACCTGCTGTGGAAGAGGAATTAAAACACACCCAGTAGCAGTGTCTGGCAATATTTACACACATTTTTAATGGGATGGTCCTAGTGAGGCTTCTAGGAGATTAAAAAACAAACCAAATTCCATAAGGCTTTTGGGGCAATTCCAATACCAAAGGGGGGGAAAAAAGAGAGCATTCATTACAAATTCCTTCTTGGGAGAAGGAATGATTTATAGAAAAAAAATTGAGTCAGATTAAATGGTGACATAGTTGTTTTCAATGCTCTCATAGGACGGGCACTGCAAATACTGATATCTTACTGTAACATCTGCCATGTCATGTGACAGCTTGAATCAAAGTAGAAGGTAAGTCACAGTTTCCCAGATTCAGATGCCAGAGAAAACAGGTTAGTTTAGTTTTTGTCTTCTAGTAGGTGAAACTGAGGTGGAGAGAGGATGGCCCAACCTTCACCATAGCTTATTTCGAAACAGGAAATCTTGCTTGGTTAGTTTATACTGACCTCCATAAATATATTTTAGCCACAGTGTGGTCTCATTTTAAGGTGAAAAATAAATGTTACTCAAACTTTGATATGATACAGATAACATTTCAGTTGTTCTATATTCAGTCCACATATAATTATTGCAATGACCAACATGTATTGATGATCATTTAAATATTTCCTATCCTCTGAAATCATACAACTCCTAAATATTCTAAATCAGAATTAGGATGAAATATGAGCACCCCTCAATAGGAAGAAGTGGTGGGACCCGCAGTAAAGGAATATCTGGAAGGTCACACTTTGATTCTCACATGTATTCCTAGTGCAAGGAAAGGTCTCTGCTTCCTTTGTATCAGCACAATTCCAGTGAAAGAGGTGAAAGTTGAGAGAAGCAATGGAAGTGAAAAGGAACAGGCTTCTAAGAAGCATTGACTTAAAATAATCTCCCAAATATTTTACTGTCTATTTTTCCTTTACCGTATTTAGTGACTCACATTATTGCTAAAGAAAATAATGGCACTTAAATAATTATATAATAGACGTAAAGGCATTAGCTATTGGGAAATAAACGTGACCCGTCAAATGCGCGCCCGACAACAGAGCGCCGACAAAACCGCAGTGAGAAAACCATGAGGTTGAAAGCGCTCTCACAAAAGAGCACCGACAAAACCGCGCCCACAAAAGGGCGATTAGGGTTAAGGTAAGGGTTAGGGTTAGGGTTCGGGTTATTATGTTGTTATTACGTTGTTATTACATTGTTTTTGCGTTGTTTCTTGATGGCGCGCTTTCGTCGGCGCACATTTGTCAGCACACTTCTGTGGGCGCAATTTCGACCTCGCAGTTTTGTCGGCGCGGTTTTGTCAGGCGCGCATTTGTCAGTGATCCATAAATAAATGGAATGAGGGACCTTTTGGTTCATCTCGTGAGTGACCTATGTTTTTTTAATCATCATTTTCTCCTATGCTAATTAAATTTCACAAAAAGAAGAAAGTATTCAGAATGCTTATCCGATTTTCTTTCTTTCAAGGGGGGAAAAAAGTATCACCATGCCACATATGAAAATGCTGCTTGGGTGAAGAACTCAAACTCAAATTGTGGTAGTCAGGAGTGATCATCAGAGGCAAAGACCCTTGCGGCCCACTGGGGTGACTGCTGTCCTCCCAACTGATTATCCCCCATCCCAAATGATAGGGCTGTTCTTAAAAATGGCTCCGTGGGACTCATTTCTGAAAGAAATGGCATAATAAGGTGTAAGGTTTGCTTCTGTTGTGGCCTGCCAGTGGCCAGCAGAGCTGGTGGCAAACTCAGACAGTGAGGAGTTTGAGGAGGAACATGGGCCAGTCCTGGAGTCTGAGGAAGGCTCTGATGAGTGCTTTGCGTCAGAGATAGAGATGGGACCATGGCTGTCTGACAGTTATTAGCTGCCTTTGAAGTCAGACATCAGTGAGGCAGATGAACAGCTGGAGCCTGTTCCCAGTGTGGGCA